CATCGAGTCAATGGGCATCTCATAGTGACCCTATAGGACGGTAGAACTGCCCCCAGTGAGTTTCTGAGACTGAATATCTTTACAGGAATATCCAGAGGAACGGTGGTGGTTTTGAACTGCTGACTTCGTGGATCACAGCGTGACTCCCACGGGTTGGTAGACATTCGAAATATACAGTGGCCACAACACGAGACTTGAACATGGGTGAAGACGGCATTGCACGGGGCAAGAGTAAATCTGTTGTACATGGGGTCTCCGTGAAATGGGGCTAACTCAAGACTAAGTAGCAATAACAACAAAACTGCAAATGAGGTAACTCTTCCTGTAGGAGAATTATTAACAAAAGGAGAGTGCTTCATTGGATTTAATGAATCTGTTTAACATAGAGCAACATGATCTCATTAGTATATATTCTTCATAATTGTTCTTTAAGCCAAAGTAGTTTTATTCCTATTGCATTCAGGAGGAAAATACAGTTTAAAAAGCATTGTCTGAAGCTATCCAACTAGTGACAAGGAAGCACCAAGGATTAGAGCATACTTCTCATTAGTTTGCATCTCGTTAGAATGCAGACTCTGATGCAGTAGGTCCAGGAAGGAGTTGAAGATGGAGCCATGCTGTTTTCAGGGCTGCTTGTCCAGGGACAACAGGGCTTTTGAATAATCATGGCTTGGCATAGGGTACAGAGGATCAGGTGACCCAAGCTTTGATTGATTCTGCTAAAGATCATCCCAGAACTTTGAATTAGCTACTTAGCTTTAATAAAATGCAGCTTCTTCATTTGTATAAGTAAAGGCTTATCATAAGTGATCTGCATTATTTCTTCCAATTATAAAAGCACCTGAGTTTTAAAATTAATTACCCATTGATACCAAACCACTTTTTCTCTGTTTCCCTTCATCCTAAGATCTTTACACCATGCTTAAACCAAATGGCTAATGAGGCGCTGAAAAGAAAATGCCAGAGATGTATAGAAACATGCTTGCTTTCTCAAGTTCTTGTGTGTTTAACAATCAAAATTTCCCCTTTCCTTTGTTTTGTTGCTATGAGTAGATGTTGCATTTCATATGTGCATGTTTAAATAATTGTATTAATAAACCCTCACTGTTTTCCATTCATAGTATTATTTGAAATCTACATAATATTCTACTCAAGACCAGGTTGAGTGGGTATGCAATTATGTATATCCCTGTGTGAGGAAATAACTCTTCAATTGTAAGGGATCATTTAAATGTCTTGTAAATGTTGCCCTCTAGTGGAAGGATAAGTTAATATTTAGAAAGAATTATGACCCTTAATTGGAGAGCAAATGTTTTGAGAGTGATGAGGGCAACGAATGTACAAATGTGCTTGACACAATCGATGTATGTATGGATTGTGATGAGACTTGTATAAGCCCCCAATAAAACTATTTAAAAAAAACTAATATTTTTCTTTTATTTTCCGTCTCCTTTCTA